GTGTGAGCGAGTTGCTGCCTTCCTCTCCTGAGGCGCCGGACAGTTTGCCAGAACCTCTTTGGAGCCGATCAACAGTCTTTCTCCATGGCCTCACCAAACTCCTCCCACGCCCGAGATTTTGCCTCGGCAACTGCCACTGCTGCACCCCGCGTGGCTATCCGGTACCTGTCTGCTGCCTCCGGAGACCCACAGACCAGCCACGCCCTGTAGGCCTCCCTCTTCAGCCTGACGGCTCCCCGAACCTCTGGTGTCCACCAGCGAGTACGGGGGTTGCCACCACGACTGGCACCGGCCACCTTGCGACCACAGCTAGCAACAGCCGCCTCAACAATCGCAGAGTGGAACAAGGCCCACTCGGAGTCAATGTCCCCCACTGCTCTCGGAACACTGTCAAAGCTCTGCCGGAGGTGGGAGTTGAAGACCATCTTAACAGGTTCTTCTGCCAGGCGTTCCCAGCAGACCCTCGCTATGCATTTGGGTCTGCCAGGTCTACGCGGCATTTTCCCCTGCCATCTGATCCAACTCACCACCAGGTGGTGATCAATTGACAGCTCCCCTCCTCTCTTCACTCGGGTGTCCAAAACATACAGCCGCAGGTCAGATGATACGACTACAAAGTCTATCATCGACCTGCGACCTAGGCTGCCCTGGTACCAAGTGTACCGACGATCATCCTTATGTTCGAACATGGTGTTCGTTATGGCCAAACTGCGGCTTGCACGGAAGTCCAATAACGAAATACCACTTGAGTTCAGATCAGGTGGGCCGTTCCTCCCAATCACACCCCTCCAGGTCAGGCTGTCATTGCCCTCGTGAGCATTGAAGTCCCCCAGCAGGACAATGGAGTCCCCTGATGGAGCACTATCTAGCACTCGTCCCAGGGACTCCAAAAAGGGTGGGTACTCTGAACTGATATTTGGCCCATAAGCACAAACAACCATCAGGACCCGTTCCCCGACCCGAAGGTGCAGGGAAGCTACCCTCTCGTCCCCCGGGGTAAACCCCAACACACAGGCAGAGAGTCTTGGGGCTAACAAAAAGCCAACCCCAGCCATCTGCCTCTCACCTGGAGCAACTCCAGCAAAGGAGAGTGTCCAACCCCTCTCAAGGACTTGGGTTCCAGAGCTAATGCTATGTGTCGAGGTGAGTCCGACTATATCTAGCCGGTACCGCTCAACCTCTGCCACAACCTCCTGCTCCTTCCCCGCCAGCGAGGTGACATTCCATGTCCCAAAAACTAGTTTCCTTGTCCGGGGATCAGACCGCCAAGGCTCCCGCCTTGGTCTGCCACCCGATCCACATTGCACCGGACCCTTCATGTTCCTCCTGCGGGTGGTGGGTCTACAGTTGGATGAGCCCATGTATCCGGTTCGGGCTGGGCCTGGCCGGGCCCCATGGGCGAAAGCCCGGCCACCAGGCGCTCGCTCACGGGCCCCAACCCCAGGCCTGGCTCCAGGGTGGGACCCCGGTAACCCTCCGGGCCGGGTACTCCGGCTCTTTGAATTTACTTCCATGAAAGATCCTGTGAACCGTTCTTTGTCTCACCCTTCACCTAAGACCAATTTGTCATGAGAGACCCTACCAGGGGCACAAAGTTCCCCAGACAACATAACTCCTAGGATCATTAGGGCACTCAAACTCCTCCACCACGATAAGATGACGGTTCAAGGAGAAGTAATTCTCGTGTGTAAAAGAAAATAAATCAGACTTTAATCTCAGAATTCTGACTTATTTCTCAAAAGTCATGAAGTCCTTTTTGTGAGAAAAAAAAAGTCAGAAGTCAGAGTTTAAAGGGTTATTATGGAAGTTTGACAGCCCAAACATGTAAAGAAATAATAAATGTCTTCTTCATACATTCTCCTGCAATGCCCTGGTCCTGTAGAATGAGCCAGGGACGAAATTTTGATTTCAGAAGTGGGGGGGACACAGCAGGCTTGTGCGGATTTGGGGTGGGGGGTGTTATGTAAAGACCCCTTGACACGTCACGTGCCCATCTCAATAATTTTTCCATCCTCTATATATATATATATATCAAAGTTAAAAAATGTACAACTCTATTATTATTTTTATTTATTATCATTATTGAAGTGCAGTTTTGGCTGTTGACAATGGATAGGCCATTGTATTTATTGTTTTGGGTCTTTTTTATTGTTTTTGGTGCAACATTTTCTAACAGGGAGTGAGATTCCTTTTTTATTCAATTTTTGTTTGTTATTTTTATTCATTTAGAAGTTCTGGTTCTGGACATTTCAATGTTAAATTAAGGTTTATTTGTTGCATTTTAAAGGGTGTACTTGCATTATTATGATATATTAACATTATATTAGTGGTTATTTTGGTCTAGATAATGTTGACAATATCGTTTATCATCAAGAATTTGTTGGACAAAATATCGTCCAGCAAAATTTGTTACATTCCCAGGCCTAGTCAAAAGTATAAAAATTATTTATACATAAACGGTCCTCCTGAGATCTGGCCGTTTGTTCATTTGCTGTGTTAGAGAACATGCTGAACTAATGTTTTACACATGATCATCACCCTAACATTTGAGTGTATAAAAACATATTAAATATGTTTTTTCCCTTAAAAGTGTTTAAACAGTTGTTGCATTTCAACACACAAAAAATAAATGGAAAAAATAAGATAAATCTAATGAAAAGTGTACATCTTTGACATTAAGCTTAAAAAAATCTGTTGACGATGATGATACTGTTCATTTTTCAGAGCTTTTTAATGTGAAAATATGCATTGCAATAGATAAGTTTACAGTAAAGTTAAATGATAAAAGTTTTGAAGTTACACTTCTACTACTACTAGTAATAATAATTATGATGATAATAGTAATAATAAAAAAATAATTATTATAATAATACGAACAAATTGTGTCTGAGGAGTCAGTTATGTGGAGGAGATGAGTTTGTAAAATTTAGTTTTGAGTTTGTGTGTGAAGGAGGAGGTGAGTCTGAGCTTAATGCAGGGGTGTCACATGTTCCAACTTACGTTTTGACTTTGAAAGAAGTCTCTTATATCCACTTTTTGTTTTCTTGACATGCTGCCTCCTGGCTGTGCCTAACTACCAAAGACTCACAAATGAACACTTATTCAAATGTTATATAATGGAAGCTGAGCTGAGCTCTGATATTACACAGCGTCTAGTTGACGATGTGACTCAGTACCGGTGTTCCCTAGCGGCTCCAAACTAGCAAAACAACGTGAGCACGTTCTGACTGTTTACAACTTGAGTGACAGCAGCAACAGCCAATAATACGTTAGCAAGTATCAGCAGAGCCAATAGATTAGCTTTTGGGCGGGTCTAATAGTAAACCGGTTTCTGTTTCGGTCCTAGTGCTCAACCAAATCCATTTAAAGGAGCGTAACATTGTTTTTGGCCGGAAAAAAGTGCAGGGGACCAAAACTGCCTTTTGAAAAAGTGGGGGAGACATGTCCCACCCGTCCCCCCCCAAAATTACGTCCCAGGAATGAGCCCTGGCATTTTTACTGTGATTGCCTGTTTTTCTGTAAAATCACAGAAAAAGAGAGCTGCTCGGGTCGAGCAGGCTGCTTCATGCGCGTTCACGCTCAGGCATAACACGTAGCATTTGCTATCCATAGCTTTAGTCTTTGTCGCTGTTCCTAACGCCTAGTGACAAAGCTAATAAATGTTACAGATACAAAGGATGCCACTGGTGCTTTAGTTCACCTAGTAAGATGTCGGATTTTTGTGCAGGAGACCCGGGTTTGATTCTGTATGTCATCATAGTTTATTTAGAGTTTCTTTTTTACATTAATGGTATATTTTTTACAGTAAGATGCCCAAATTTTTATTTGAGACTCGCCGAATGGCATTGAATTCACAGATAAAAAAGATGTGGGTTCAACTTTTAACTTTGTCGGCTGTGCTGAAGAGAAAGGTACAGAACCAAATTATTTAATTAACTAGCTGCGCGTTCTCCTGTCCTCTGTCCTCCGGGCCACACACACACAAGGGACTGTCTCAGCTGTTATTTTCGTCACTGTTTTTGAACACTTGTCTCAAATTCCTACACAGTGCAGATTGTGCTTACTCAAATATACATACATTTCATTCATTTAAAAGTGCATTATTTTCAGAAAGTAAAGGGTTGTTTTCCATCCATCCATTTTCTGAACCCGCTTGTCCACGCAGGGTCGCTTGGAGGGGTATGGGGGGGAGGGTTGGGGGGGGGGGGGGGGGCTGCTATCTCCAGCAGTCAGCGGGCAAACAGGCGGGGTACAACCTGAACAGAGAGCCAGTCCATCGCAGGGCAACACAGAGACACACAGGACAAACAATCATGCATACACACACCTAAGGACAGTTTAGGCAGACCAATCAATCTAACAGTCATGTTTTGTACTGTGGGAGGAAGCCGGAGTACCCGGAGAGAATCCACGCATGCACAGGGAGAACATGCTAACTCCATGCAGAAAGATCCCAGGCCGGGAAGCGAACCCAGGACCTTCTTGCTGCAAGGCAACAGCTCTAACCACTGCGCCACTGCGCAGCCACTAAAGGGTTGTTTTAAATTTGTTATGTTAAACACAATTTTTTAATTATGACTCAAATTTTTCTTTTGGTCACAACTGAACATATTTGTAGGCAAAACACCTAACCCTAACCCTAACAGCTGTTTGTGAGTCTCAGGCTCTTTTTATAACTATCCTTGCTCCAATGCTTTGTAGTCTTACGGGTGAGTGGTAACCATGGTGACTAATGACTAACTGTTAAGATCTTTGACGTGTTTTTAAAATTTGACACTGTAAAGAGGTCATACAGACAAAATGTCAGCTAATTTTCATGATTTAAGAAATTATAAAAGCAGTCAATTATTTTTGGGATTTGTAGAAGATCATTTGAATTTTGAGCAGCCTTCAGATTTTCTTCTGAAAATCCCTAGTTTGTTTTAAAATCACCATCTTTTTTTCCTCCAGGCGCTTCAGAAACAAACAAAATGCACCCCTAGCCACACCGAACCTGTTACCTGGTCTCTAGAGGGATGTTGCTGTTCAGCACCCAGCTGTTGTGAAGCTGGGCCTGGTCCGTGTTCGAGCTGTTCTCTGCCTCCTGGCCGCCCTGACTGGTGTGGCACCGCGTTGGCATAGTCTTCCTCTGCAGGCTGACCTGAGCGTAGGGTGCCGGGCGGGCGCAAGTGCAAGCATGGGGTGGGGGCGGAGGCGGGGGCAGTGGACGAAACGTGAACTGTCCACCTGGACTGCTGGGCAGCTCTGTGCAGAGACACCAAGAAAATAACAAGGGAGGAGGGGAGGAAGGAAGGACAGGGGAGAAATATGCAGGTTCATTAGGAGCACTATATCATAAATTACAAATAAAAGCAGAATGTTAGTTGACAGTTTATTGTTATTACACTGATTGAGGGACATAAATCAGCTTGAAAGTGTCCCTGTCCGGTGCTTTCCCTTCCTGCCGGCTTTGACACACTTCCAGCAACCCTATAAATAGATTCTTGGCTGCCTGTAACATTGAACAGTCTTTAAAGAGCTAACAGCTCTGGCTTAATCTGCACCCGCCAGCCCAAACTACCCATGTGATGTTTATTATGAGATCTCAACGGAATCAGCTAGCCAGCTGTAACTCCCTCACACCGGTAACCTGAGGGTCTGGAGAGAGCTCTGGCAGTCCATCATTTATCATTCTCTTTCACTACAGATCTCCCTCTTCTCGTCTCTTCCTGTTTGCTGCCTCCAAACCCAGAGTAGACCAATTATAGATTTTTCCAAATGTGATGCGTTTGCCCAAAGTCTAGCTGCAGACAAGGCTACCCTGCACGTATTATTGCGCATGCAAACGTCTCCGTGTATATGGTTCTGACTGTATTTATGAGTGTGCATCAACTGTGGCGTCGGTTATCACTGCCATATGGCTGCAGTACGGTTCCTTGAGCAAGGCAAACCCCTCCATCCCAGAGGAACAACTCTGTCCAGCTGTATTGACGGTGAATAAAACATTAACCTCAGACCAGAGCGTGAAGAGTCTGTCTGCCAGACTTCGGCTAACAGTCTCAGCTCTAAATTGTATTTGCTGTCAAAATGTCAGCAATAATTTTATATCTTCAACTCCGGCCTACCTGGGAGATTACCACAGCCTCTCCTGTTTAATTATAAACATGAAAAAGCTAATGCGAGAGGTTACGCCGCAAGACTTTTTTCAGATCAAGCTGAGAGAAGAAAACATTTCTGAGTTGTTGTGGCAAAAATCTATTACAGGGCATTACAGGTAATGTTTTTATAAAAGAAATGTGAATGTGGGATGTTAAAATTTCAAATTAAAACAAGATTGGAGACTACAGGACAGACAGGACTGTAAACGGTCCTCCAAATATTCCCAAAGTGCATACTGTCACTCAGCTCAAATGCCATTTCTAAAGATTGTAACAGTATCAGAAAGGATGCCGTTTAACCAGCGTGTGTGCATTTATACTATATGTGTGTATATGTTGATATGTGTGTATATGTGTGATATGTACCCTGCTGGTTCCATAAGTTTTCTCTCTTGCAACAAACACAACTATTTTAATGGACAGATACAGTAAAATACTAATTTGTCCACGTGGCTGAGACATTCAGTCACTTACAGACTCCTGATTTTAGATTATAAAGCACACTAATCCACTAAATCGTATATTCCACATAAGCCTTCCCGCTAACCTGGACAAGGCTGGAATGCACCAGACCATGGACGTAATTTTCACTTTAGAAGTGGGGGGGACACGGAGTGGGGTGGAGTGTGTGTGTGAATCTTTACAGTATGCTCTAATGGGAAACAGGCTTCAACACAAACAGTTGTTTTCCGCTTGGTCCTAGAGCTCAACCAGTGTCAATTTAATATAGCGTAATATTGTTTTTGGATGGTAAAAAAAGCAGGGGTCAAAACTTGACTTTGGAAAAAGTGGGGGGGGGGGGGGGGGCATGTCCCCCCTGTCCCCCCCAAAAATTACGTCCATGCACCAGACCATCAGTCATCACTGATGGCAGCTGTTGGCGATTCTTCATATATGGATGATGAAATGTTCACCAGTCAAGCCCAGTCTGGACCTTCATACAGCATCTTGTGTATAAGGTGAAAATGACCCCAAGGAAGGTCAGAAATCAGCCCACAACTGGATTTAAAGAGCTAAAGGCAGTTGGACAACAGTCACTGATGCCTCTAAAGCCAACCTGCTAAGAATTCTGTCTCAAGCTTGTTGGACATCATCTAAACGATCAACTCTAGTGATCAAATTAGTGCGACCCAAAGAACTGGTGAACTGCTGAGCCGACACCATCTTTGTAGTTTTTCTCTTTCGTAGCTTTAGCGTTACGCTTGCCTACCAAATGTAGATTGCTGGATTTCTAGGCTAAAATAAAACGGTTTACTTGTAAAAAACATGTGACAAAAACATGTGACAGCACTATTTCTTTCTTTTATATATGTAGCAAAAATATGTCTAATTTTCACACAGATTTGTTTACTAATAATTCTGAGAGAAAATTTTAACTGTCAACGTGAAATTTGGTATTTGCCAGTACAATTTACATTTTCTACATAACACGCTGTTAATCAGCCATTGGTAGATTATGAATTCATTGATGTGCCAATGGATAGTGATCTTGTGCTCTCAAATCTCAAATGAGACTTGGGAAAATGCATCAAACACTAAAGTTAAAGGGGTACTTTGCTACTTTTTCATTTTTTTAGGGTTAGTGTTAGACGTAACTAAGTTTCCTTGAGCCAGACAGTGCTGAAATGACCCTTTAAAGGGTCATGAAAGTCCACCCAGCCCCTATCGCCCCCTAAGGCCAGAATATTCCACTTGCTCCTTCAGAGTTGCCTGTCAGGTCTGTTGGGACTTAGAAAGAAATGAGCTGACATACCTGGTGCTGCAGTATGCTTCCAGCACATTTCCTGCGTGTTTTAGATAATGAATTTGTGTAATTTAGTGAAGAATCACTCCTGTAGACATTAATGAAGGCTGGGAGACATTTCTGCTGTTAGATTAAGGTGTTAAAAGCTGAACGCACAGCGAATAAATAAGTTTAGCTCTCGGTTTTACAAACGGTCACTAGGGGTGCCAAAAGCAAGCCAAAACTGCCAAGTTCCCCTTTAAGGCCCTATCAGTTGTCACACTTGTGTGCATGATTTCTCCACATTTAACCCATCCTCTGGGGGAGCAGTGACCTGTGACACAACCAATCAAACCCGGAATGTAAAGCGGGTGCCATTTTTAAAGTCTTTGATATGACCAAACTGTGGATTTGAACCCACAATCTCCCAGTTTCAGGGTGAAAACTCATACCACTGGGCCTCTGAGCTGAACTTGTGTTAGTTCCAAATTTTCTGTCATGACTCACAAGTCCTCGCTCCTTTTTCTAAACATCTGAACACATTCAAACAGCTGAGAATGAAAGCCTTTTCAACTGCTTTTCTACTTTGTGAAGGAATGTAAGACAGTCTTGGGAGGTGCTGGTAACAATTCTGCAGATAAAATGAGAGTAAACTAAACAAATTCAGATTAAATTGGAACAATTAGTATTTAAACTGCAACAGGAACGTTTACAGTTATGTCACAAGCCTCAATCCATTTTGTCTCCAACTAAAAATTTGCATTTTTTTTTGTTGCTATTTTTTGTGGCAGTGCCGTGGGATACTGGAATAAAGAATACATGGAGGTCATGAGTGGCCTGTTGTATAGAAACTCAGTGGAAGGAGCTGGAGGCTCGCTCAGGTGCAGCCAAGAACCTTAAAGATTTAGACATTAACTTTTAAACATAGCGAACCAAAGTCCCTGCAGCTGACCAATAAGAAGCATCTTATCGTTGAGCTCATCAACAAGTGTGTTTTCTCGGGGATCAAATACTTATTTCACTCAGAGGCATAACTATTACTGTGTTTCTCCATTTTTCAGTAGACATTCTTTCTCTTTCCAATTAAAATGAAGCTGCCGTAAAATTAGCAGTTGTTCATTTCTTTGTAAACGAGCAAACCCACAGAATCAGCAGGGGACTGAATAATTATCCCTCCCTCTGCATATCTCACGTTGTATATGAAATATGCTGGATTGTTTTTGTCATTGTATACAAAAGATGTCTGAACTGTCTATTCCACTTTGAAAGCATGAATAAATAATATGTTCTCTACAATAATAAAGAAATCTTAGTATTTTCATTATCAATGACATACTGTTACTAAAACACTTTTTTTATGATAAATCTGAAAAATGCAGCCAAGTGTTCATCTTCTGCTGCTCTTCGTTGTGTCGAGGTTCGTTGCTTCCGCTCTCATGATACATACGGATTTATAACAACGTTCAACATGTTTGAGTGAATAAAAATAGATTTTCTGACAATAAAAAGAAAAAATATGAACATTTCTACTCTAAATGTCAAACAGTTCAAACCATAAGAAGCTGAGAACGTAATGCATTTGGCTCATCATCAACAGCTGTTCAATGGCCTGTGAGGTCTGACGAAATGACGGGGAATGTTGTTTGTGTCATCAGCTGGAGGTGTTTTTAGTTTCAACTAATGGATGTGGAGAAGAAGTTATTTTTGTCTCGTCCACCTCCGAGCATTAAAGAGACGATGCGCTGAGGGAGAACAGACTGAGCATGTGTGGAGCGTTCTGCGGCGCTGCTGCGATCCACGAGGAACTTTAAAGTGACCCTTCAGTTTACAGCGGTCTATCTGATTCATCAGGATCCTCTGAGTCCAACCCTCACAGTTCCATGTTGGTGTGTTTACAGCAGGTTTTTAGCTGTTTTTTCTTTAAGATTCTCTGCTTCAAAACCCCCAAAGCAAACCCGCGCCGTGCACAGCGAGGGCTGCGTGTTTGATTAGGCTAGTTGGTCTTAAAAAGTCTGTTTTGGATGCTTACACATGCTTTACGAGGTATTTAATGGTAGCCAGCATGCAACCTGCAGTAAAAAGAGGCAGAACGGAGGATAGACATTGTATTTAAATAGTGGAACTAGGCAGTTTGGCTTGCTTTTAGCACCACCTAATGTCCATTTGTAAAACTGAAAGCAAAACATATCTATTTACTGTGCCTGTGTCTTTTTAACAGGTGTGACCAAGTCACTGCTTTGCAAGTCACAAGCAAGTCACAAGTTTTTCCAGTCAAGTCTCGAGTCAAGCCCAAGTCAAAGGCAACCAAGTCCAAGTCGAGTCCAAAGTCAATGACGTGGAAGTCCAAGTCAAGTCCAAGTCCTAAACTTTGAGTGTTCAAGTCA